TATAAAAAGCTTCAAATCCAACTTCAAAAAAGTATATGGGTATTTCAAACATAAATGTATCGAATTTACCACATCACTAACTCGAAAAAAGCCATTCTCAATTCACGGTTAATCACTGTACTCCTGCAAGATCCCTCTTCAAAGGTTTAAAAGGAGCACCCATTCTGGCCATATCTGAGCCAGACGTGGAGTTGATATCCTTTAAGCCGATAATACAGAAATAATAAATAACCGCCAATAAAAATAACGTATATACTAGTATCACATAATAATAAGTTTTCAAGCCAGAAACTTCATATTAATGGTATTTCAATATGACCCCTTCACGCACAATAAATTTGCTTATATTTTCTAAGCACTAGTACCAAAATAATAAAAAACGGGCTTGATATAAAACCAAAATCTCCTCTTATAGTATGCCTACAGATAAATATGGATGTAACACTACTGCATTATCATGCATACCGCGCCCTCGGCTACTCCAATAGCAGTACGCCGTCATACCTGGGATATTTACAGCATATACTATGTATGTACTTCTAGCCAAAATATACGCCTAGGGGCCCAGGATGTTTAAATTACTATAAACTCCCTCTCCAAGTAAACCGCTCCATCAGGGTAAATAATGACACACCCTAATACAACACACCACATCTTGGAACACAACTCACACTCACAACATACACGATCACACTACACAGGATATCACCACAGAAGTTACCACCACACACGATGACACTCCACACAATCAACAATAAAAAAAAGGAATTGGATCTTCAATTCAATTCATTCGCTATATAAAATTCGACAGCTCAAGACATTCAAGTGTACACTGCGCCGCGTCAACACCTTCTCGATACAATGGCGATCCTGCGGCCAACACCAACTCGATTTGTCAACTTTTTTTGGATCTACACTTCGTAGCAGCGCCGTTCCGCACGCGCCGACACTACATTTAGCGATCCGATAATATATAAACTTATATATTATATTATGGAATTTTATTGTGCAAAATTTTATGATAAAAATTCGAATACTAAATTAAGTTGCGCCTTTTAATTCCTTGCAAACCAATTCCAAAAGAATTTGATAAAATAGTTTGAAGAAAATTATTTTGCGTGGGAAAAATAAACAAAACTTGGCAACACAAAAAGACAAGTCACATCGCCATGGTCTAAATGTTGTACATCTTTTTGGCATGTTGAACATGGCTTTTATAAATAGCTACATTATATTATATATAGACATAACATGTTTCAAATAAATAAAAAACCTCTCAGTCGCCCAGCTTTTATGAAAAAATTACATTCTTCACTTCTCGAACGTCATTTGAGAGGTAGGCTTGGATTGCCAATATTGTTTACGTCGTTGCGATCGATTATTGAAAATGTTATTACTGTTGATAAAAATCAAGAAATAAAAAGCGAAAATATTGTAAAAAAAAAAGAAAAATATGCGCAAAATGCCGAAAAAACCTCTGTGGAGAGCATAAAAAACATGTTCCTTTTTTAGTTTATAGTATTATTTTTTAGAAAAAAACATATTAAATGTACTACAAGTTTTTTATTTTTAATGTTATCAACTTATCCGTTTGATTTTTCGGCATATCTCAAATTTTCTACCAACTGAAGCTTTGTCGTCGCGTCAATCCTTCGGAACATTGACTCTTTGACATGAAAGCAAAAAACGTGAGCTTCGGTCATTGGTTGACCGTGTCAACGGATATTTCACATAAAGTAATGCGTGTACATATCTACATACATATGTTGTTTGTAGACAAATTTACAAATATTTATCTTTAATTTTTTTTTTTACATGTACACATAAGAAATTAGAAATGTCGACGGCAACACGCTATTCTGTATTTTTGTGATTTCATAATGGTGTCAAGTACATGAATTATTTTAAGAAATATATCAAAACATTTGCAAATTATTACTAATAACTCATAATTAAGTAAGAATTAATTAACATAAAATAATTTAAAAAATAATAAATAAAAGTTCAACAAAAGTTAATATATTTCAAATGGCATGTCATCTCTTCAATATTCGACGGACTGTATGCAGAGATAAAGAGATGCCCAACTCGTCTCTCACTGGAAATGAGAGCGCAATTGATAAACGTCAAAACCTACTGAACTCAAGCAACTGTCAAAGTTCAGTAGGTCTGACGTTTAGCAATTGGAAAAAGAGGGACGGCCAGATTAAAATCCTACAGAAAAATATGTAAACAGAGAGATTTGTGCTGCTGTTGAAGATCACTAACAAAAATTGGAAAACAATGAAAATGAAAGAAAACGCGAAATTGAAATGTATGTGATGATATCTTTTATGATGTCATGCTAAGTGGTATTGATTTTCAATTGAAAATTTTTAAAAACATTTATTAATTGAGAGCTAATACATTTGTTCTTTTGATTACGTATTGAAAGTTCAAAAATCAACTGTTTAATATCTCACAAAATCACAAAAAAAGAGTATAAAAAGTTTTTGGATATGTTTAACGGATACATGTATAATAACATTTAATCTTTATAAATGATGGGTATTTTAATTTAAATTCCCAAAAATTATTATTTTGTCCGATCTGGCTACAATGGATAATGTTATAAAAAACGCTAATTTTGAGGCGCTTTCACACTGGAAAGAGTTGGGCATCCCATTATCCCTGCTGTATGTGTACAGATTCACCGCTGTTATGAAAGCGAGAAATGTTCATTGTATAAATCTTCAAGTAACTAATCCTAAGATTTTCACTAATCACACGCAAAAATATCCCACTTGGTACGGGTTGCCTCGAAAATTCTACTACTAAAATCACACTTGGTACGGGTTGCCAACCAATATTCTACTACTGAAACGTCCAAATTACAGAAATCTGCTCTAGTGTGTTGCCGTGTTATGTTTTAAAATTTATAACTTTAAGAATGTTTTTATTCCATATTCAAATATTTTTGGGCATTGTTATGAAAAGTAGATTATTTTAGAACTGTATATATTATATGGGCGAATATAGAGTTCCTGGGGAACCGAACACCCAAAAATGATCGGTAACGCACCTATATTGCAAGCTCAGAGGTTGTGAGGAAAAGCAATAAATATATTTATAATAATCTTTTGTTTCGAAAATATTCTTGAAAGTTTTCATTAATATTCTCCATTACAAATACATGTTCACAAACAAGCCTTTCATTTACATCTCTGTGTCAAAAAAAAGGCAGATTCGATCAGGTGATCACGGCTGTTTCACACACATAGGAAAACAGCTGATTCTTTGGCTACTTGTAGGCTTATACAATGGAAATGTTATTTGTTTCTCCTGCTTGTGAGGTGAATTCTCTGACTGAAATTTTACAAATGTTCGCTGTCGAACCTGCACCTTCTCGTTCTTGTATGTCATTGTATAAATCTACAAGTAGCCAATCCCAAGATTTTCACTAATCCATACGCAAAAATATCCCACTTGGTACGTGTTGCCTCGAAAATTCTACTACTAAAATCACACTTGGTACGGGTTGCCAACCATTATTCTGCTACTAAAACGTCCAAATGACAGAAATCTGCTATAGTGTGTTGCCGTGTTATGTTTTAAAATTTATAACTTTAAGAATGTTTTTATTACATATTCAAATATTTTTATATATTATATTGTTTTAATTCCTAAAGATTAAATTTACATATTATTATTTAAATTAATATTTATTGTGTTGAAATATTATTATATGTTTCCAATTTTATCAAATATATTCTTTTATAATTGAATTGTACCTGATTTTTATATATTTATTTTCGTTTTTGTTTAAATCAAGTTGAATATTTCAACTTATATTGTTAATGTTATATTGTTAATGTAATTAATATTCATGAACCTGATTCATGTACCTGATTTTATGTATATATCTTTTCGAGTTATAATTGTTATGAAAAGTAGATTGTTTTAGAACTGTATATATTATATGAGTGAATATAGGCCTCCTGGGGAACCGAACACCCAAAAAAGATCGGTAACGCTCCTATATTGCAACCTCAGAGGTGGTGAGGGAAGGCAATAAATATATAATAATCTTTTGTTTCGAAAATATTCTTGAAAGTTTTCATTATTATTTCCATTACAAATACATGTTCATTACCAAATTGTTAAACTACATCCTTTTATTTAAAACTCTGTGTCAAGAAAAGGCATATTCGATCAGGTGATCACGGCTGTTTCACACACATAGGAAAACAGCTGATTCTTTGGCTACTTGTAAGCTTATACAATGTTGTATATTCTCTGGTCTAAATATATATCATGGCATCTGTTGCTAGCAATGAACTGTCATTTTGGTGTTTTGGCAGAGCTGTTTTTACAGAGAGTTTCTTCTAAGTTCTCTGGTTTTTATTTCCACACAAATTTTGAAGCGGCAACATGTACGTGTATAGTTTTACGCAACAAAACAAAAATTTTGACAAAACATGAAAAATATTAATTAAATACATACATAAGTATTGTATGTACATATGTATGGTTAATATTTTAATGATTGTTATCAGATGTAAATATCATTGATGTTTATGAAATCCTTTTCGAAAAAACATTTGTAGAGAAAAGAAGATTTACAATTTTTTCTTTCTCTACATAAATTTTTGTCATTCTCATAAAATTTTTAAACGGTTCAAGAGCTTAAACATGCGCTATATCAGCTGGAACATACAGGTACAACAAGTATACTTGTACATACCTAGCCGACGCCATTTCGAGAATGAATATTTCATGATAACAAATGTCCACACAAGAACATTGCTAACCTTAATGGTAATGTATTTGACAGATGGTTAAATTGCCTGTGGAGATTCGGCGTTATAAAATTTTTGTTAATAATGTGATAATAATTGCGTAGAAATAATATTTTTTTGTCAAAACAAGGTATGAGAAAGAAAATTTTGTTAAACTACGAAATCTTTGTTTTATTTCATTATATAAATAATCTAAATTAAAATAACTGGAGAAATACTTACGTGTCCCCTTCATATTAGAAATGGGTGATCTGAAATATAATATAAATATAATATTAGCAGTATTATTTAGAAAGTGAATGAACTTTATCCGTAAAATATATGTATATATAAAATATATAAGGTATTCAAAAATCTTATTTGTGTATGCTCTCGCAATATTTTGCACGGAGTATATACTCGTATGCATGTTTTGTTAATTCAAAGGTTATTTGTAACACCAAAAACTGAACGAGATAGATGTAGGGCAGCTATGCCCACGCCATGTGCTCGCGAGCGACACTAACCTACAAGAAACTACTGATGGGTAACGTTCAGTTAACTTGTCAACTGACCGTCACTGTTTTTGATGAAAAGGGACAGCAGACATTTCCATTAGAGAAGTTGTGAAATACCAAGCCGTTTTTCGTTGCCATAACCAAAAGTGTTACATGCTTCTGTGAAATAACTCTTGGGATTTGTTTTAAAAATATACATTTTTATGCAAGAGAAAAGTTTTCAAATATAACATACATACGTAAGTTTTTATCTAGACATTTTTAAATTCCGAAATATGCATTTATTGTGGAAAGACGAACGCATTGCTATTGAGAGGAGGAGATGGATTCGATTGGAGATTTCTTTTCGTAATTTATTATTTAATTATATTTTTTGTTGCATTCCTTCTTGATATTTGCGTATACATATTACTATAACTAGTTTTAATTAAAAGAATGGATTTATGATATTATACTCAGAAAAAGGCGTGAGAGTGAGCAGTCTAGGTGTCTAGTGAATAAATTCCAAATACCCGTATATTAAAGAGAGATGCAAACTCACACACATACAATTGTTTACATCAGTTTTTGCACAAGATTCTTAATTAAGTTATAGAAATTTTGTTCTGAGCGCTGACAAAATTTTTTCAGCATTGACTGCCATATTACCGGTCAGATGACTGCCACTGTTCTTCTAGGGTTAGCTTCTCAGCTTTCTTATGTAGACAATACATCGTTCAGCTGTCGTTGATCAGACTACAAACCAGGGATAATTCTCTGGGATTTATCTCTGCTACAAACCACCACTAATCACAAAGCTGTATACATATCTTAAATCACCTCCTGAAGTTTGACAGTTCAGTTGAGTTCAGGAGGTTTTGACGTTTCGCAATTGGAAAAAGTGACTTGACCAGATTGAAATTCTACTAAAAAAATATGTAAACGGAGAGATTTGTTGCCGCTGTTCAAGATCACAAACAAAAAAGAAGTGATGAAATCTTTTGTAATGTCATGCCTCGTAGTATTAATTTTCATTTGAAATCAATAAAAAAAAAACATTTATTATATGCGAACTAATACTTCACTTTATTAGGTATGGAAAGTTTAAAAATCAGTTGTTTTAATATGCATATGACCAAATCACAAAACATGATTTAAATAACTTCTCCATATGTTAAACAGATACATACTTATATAATAATTCTTAATCTTAATAAATATTAGATGTTTTTATTTAAATGCCCAAAAATTGTTATTTGACTGATCTGGCTACAATGAAAAATGTTATAAAAAACGATAAGGAATAAGTTGGGAGTCCCTTTATCCCTGACAACATCGGGCATGGTCATGCCGGACACATGTCCTGCAGAGAATTTTTTGTCATTAAGAATGCTTTATGCTGGAAACGGTCACCGACGCAAAACCGTTGACCGAATCAGCTGATACGACCTATCTTATGAAAGCGCAATGTAAAAGAAAACTCACCACTGTTTGTACCGTCCGCAAGGATGAAATGATGCGAGACTCTTTGAATCGAAAGAGAGCTGTCAGAACCCACATTTTTTATAACATTTGCCAATCATGCCACTGTCGAACGAAAATGGATTGGGTATTATAAAAAAAACTTGGGGGTATTTAGCATTTCGATATTAATTTTAGGTGGTCCGTCCCCGAGTAGGCCTATATAACGCATATACATTCCTATATACTTGTATTTTTAATATAAAATTTTTAAAAAATCATATAACATAAAAAAATAGCATATAAATAAAAAAAATTATAACAAAGAAACAATATTAGTCATAATAAAAGATCATGGTTTTATAATGAACGTTTTAAATTAAACTAACAAATAAAATTTAGTTGCACGTTATTCAAAAGTATTTGTGTCGTTTCTTGAAATTTCTTTTCGCACTGCTTTTGTTAGCTATTTTTAGCGGGTTTATTTCTGGCATCCCGCCTTTTTTGACATCAGCTGTTCGAAATTCCCTGATTTTAATAATCAGGGAAAGAGAATAACAGAAAAATCAGCGAAAATGAGAGAGTCTAGCATCATGTCATCATTGCCGTCCGCTTCTACCGACCGTACGGTAGCATATCCGCTGAAATTGGATTTTTCCCGTAGAAACGAGAGAGCTGATTGCTCTCTTACACACAAGGTTGCCAGCCTCGATGTTTTGTAGTAATTAAAAAATAAACTTGAATATTTTTGAAATATTCTTTAACTAACTCAAAATTAGTGTCGAATACAATTATTTATAAATAGGTAAACTATTTTTAATAATTGGGTTTTAGTTTTGATGTTTTACATTATAAAAAATTATAATTTAAAAGCTAGATGTATGCAAAACAATGTATACATATTGAGCAATGGCAACATTGGTCAAATGAAAACAAAAGAAAACAACTGATTTCTACGTTGCCACTACGGGCATCACTTTTAACAAATTTTGTTTAATACGGGCGGTAAGTATGAGAAGGCGGAACCATCGTAAAGGGGCATATTTACCTATATCAACATGGTATAATAACCAAAATTTCAAATATTTATAAATAATTATTTAGGCGTTTTCTGATAAGCGCAACCCGTTTTAACCCCTCGCCAGCCTAACTCACCATGGCCACCATGTTAGTTTTATTGTGAACGTCGGTAGTTGTTTCTAGCATCGTAAAGGGGTTTCTAGTTTTATGGTGTTATGAATTACATTTTGTGTTTTACGTTACTTAAAGACAATAAAATGGAGGTTTTCATGGTCTAATATATTTATTTTAGTCGTACAATATATAAAATAAATCAGGAAGCATGAAAGTACTTGTTTAAACATAGAATGCAAAAGATTCACAAAATTTAAGATAACAGACTTCTTACTGGGTGTCTTAAGTTTCGTGCTCACCTGTACAGTCACATTTCTTCTCATGTCGACCACTGGTGAAGACATAAATTCGTCCCCGGTTTTTTTGCGAAAATATAAAATGTTCGGTTACACCTTAACTTAGCTCTTTTTTACTTGTTATGTATGTATGGTAAAAATTGGACAATGAGCGGGGTACCGCTCATCTTTAGGTGAAATCCTATACCTCAAGAACTACTTGACAAAGTTCTACCAAATTCAGGACATAACAATATCCTGACGTTTTATATTACAGTGTGAAAATGGACTAAAATGAAATACAACCACGCCTACTTCCTTAACTTTACTTCATATGTATATAAATAGCATCAACGAAGGTAATGAAATAACACTTTTCACAAATAGTCGTTTTACTTTTTACGGATTTAAAGATACGTCTTCGTTCATATACTAGTCGTTTAAAACTAATAAATCTACCTGCACTCACTAGTCGTAGGGAAATTCTTGGCATAATATTCTTAGTGAAAATGTTGAATAAATCAATTTGTAGTTCTTTTCTCTTGTCGGATGTTTAATTTATTATACCGGCTCGCTTATCGACGTAGTTTAGACCTTTATTGCTAAAATCTTGTATATTAAATTTTTAACCAACGAACCTTTTCGCCGAATATGTAAAAAGATATATATATATACATATATATATACATATATATATATACGCATATTTATATAAGTTATAACAAAGAAACTAAGAGAACGTCTTTTCCTGATAATAATGTGCCCTGGCGCGAAAAAAAGGTAAAATCGGATCAATGCTTTCTATAGTTCCCTTATACTTAATATAAGGATTTTCAAAACTCAAGTTGACTTTATACCATATATCTCGGTCAATATGTGAGTTATCCTAACAAAACTCAGCGGTCATCTTTTTTTGGTAATAATATTTCTTTAGGCCAAACATTAATAAAATCGGGTCAATACTACCTGTTGTATATATGTAATGTTAAAATTAAACTTCCGGTTGGCTTTATAGCGTGTATATTAGTCAATGTGTAGGATATCTTAGCAAAATTAAGTGAGAGTGTAAAGAATTTCAATCATGGTTATACCATAGTTTAATGTTTAAAATGTCTGAAATCGGTCCATGAATTACCCTAGCTGCCTATGCTGCATACCGAATATATCGGTCAATGTGTAAGTTATTTATATAAAATAATGTGGAAACATCTTCTCGAGTATGCTTGACTTTCCCCTAGCCCCAATGCAACTGTAAACTTTTTGTATTAGTCAAAGTGTATATTTAAATGAATATAAATGGACCCACTACATCATATATGAAATCTTTGGATTGACTAGACTTTATATCAAATATTTCTAAGTTTAGTAAAATAGGTTGATTTTAATAAAAATACTCGTCCACTAAATGAAAGTTAATTTCGTTCCAAATGGAGAGGGACATCCTGAAATATCATTAATTATACCATGAACAGGGTATATTCAGTTTGCCACGAAGTATGTAACACCCAAAAAGAAACGTTGGAGGCCCTATAAAATATAATGTATACATAAATGATCAGCATGATGAGCTGAGTTGATTTAGCCATGTCCGTCTGTGTGTATATATAAATATATATATTGTATATATACAAGAGACTACCCTCAGTATTTAATCTATCGATCTGAAATTTTGCACCTGTCCTCTCCTCACTAAAGAGCTGCTCACTTGTCAGAACGGCCGATATCGGACCTCTATAGCATATAGCTGCAATACAAACTGAACGATAATCTCCGAATTGTTTAGATTGGATCACTATAGCATATAGTTGCCATACAAACTGAACGATAGGAATCAAGCGCTTGTATGGAAAACTCTTTCATTTGAGGTAATATCTTTAAGAAATTTGTCATGAGTTATTTTTTAAA